TTTTTGGGGATGTTTTTTTTTTTGTAGTCAAACAATTTGCACCTCATTCAGCTTTACTCAATCGTGTGACTCATTCATCAGCTACTGGTGTATATCCTCTTAATCCCACCATCACTACAAATAACAATCCTCAAATGGGAACTATTAACAATACACAATATTTGTACTCACCTTCGACTGAAAGTGATATTCCTTTTGAAAGTTTAGAAAAATGGCGTGAAACATTGGCAATGATTTTGGCTAATCGTTCGCCTGGAGATAATCAAGCAATTACTGTATTAGGGGATATGTTAAAAGAATGTGGTTGGATTCAAGCAGCTTGTGTTTGGTATGTTGTTATTGACGAACAAAGAAAGATTTATATTTCTTAAAAATATTAGCAATCATTTTTTTTATTAGATTATTTCGTGAATTATTATTTCCTAATACTCTTTTTTTATACAAAAATTTTGAATTAGTTACATTTTATCTCCACAAACGTCTCTTCATTCTGGAATTGATACACCTAATTCACGTTTCACACTTGTGTGTCATGACCATTTTCAGGATCCCTCATTTAAAGATTTGAAAGCATTACGACTTAGTGAGATTTATGAATTTGGACTTTCATTAAAAAGTAATGAGGGTGGATTGCCGTTTTTACAACCTTATAAACTTCTTTATGCATGGTGGTTGGCAGATTTCGGATATTTGAATGAAGCTAGAAGGTAAATAAATAAATAAATTTTTTTGTAATTAATCTTCCCTAATATAGAAAACTAAATTAATTATTATTTACATAGATACTGTGAATCAATTGCGAATATCGTGAAAGTATATACTAAAGGATCTCCGTATTTCCATGGATGTTTTTTACAAAAATTGAGAGATCTTACACAACATTTACTTGAGCATGGCGGAAATAATAACGGGTTAGTTCTGTATTTAAGTTTTATATTATTACGTTTTATTTATTATTAATTATATTTCTAATTATTATTTATTATTTAGTACTAATGAATCATCCTCTTGGTTATTTGCCAAAAAAAAATGCCTAAAGCAACCCTTGATTCTTTGTGGGGATCACTTGAAGGGAAATTCAATAAGTTTGTTGCAGGGGATACTTTGGAAGAAAATGGAAATAAATCCTCAGATAACCAAGAGGAATCCGTTGGACCTTTCTCTCATTTCAGTGCCATTTCACAACCAACTTCTGGCAATCCATCTCGTAGTGCATCTTCTATCGATTTCCGTTCCAACAATGATCAACGTTCAAACACTCCTAAAACTTCCTATGAACTGCAGAGAAGATCTTCGACACCGGGATCAAATTCCCAAAGTGTCAGTACAATAAATACGGGGAATATAATGAATACGGGGAATGGTTACTATTCCAGTCCTACCACTTCAGACGGTTATAATACATCGATGCCTATGGTGCCTGAAGGTCAACCTTCATATTATTTAACATCCTCAATAACAGATGATAACAATAATAATTATTATGGTGTACAAAATGATGGGCAAGAGAATTATAATTCATACGGTTATAACACATGGAAACCTACGCGAACAAATACTTTTGGTCAACAACAACCAGTATCTGAAAGTGGATATTCAATTACTAATGATCAATATGGTCAATATGGACAATATGGATCAGGTCCAATTGATCAACAATCGCCGAATCCACCTTTGTATTCATATAATAACCCATCGGAAAATACATATACTAACGGTTCAGGATGGTATAATAATAATAATTCTGGAGTCAAGAATGATCAAGATCAGACAGGTGATTTGGATGCAGAATTCATTTCTCCAATGGGCAACTTCACACCTTTTATGCCAGCTTCTACAACAATAAATTCAACAAAAAACAATAATGGAAATAATAATAATAATAATAATAATAATAATAGTAGTAGTAATAATAATGATTGGGAAGATATTGATCTGGGATTAGGTAACAGTGCATTTTCAAAAAATAAATTTACCGAGAATGCTTCTTCTGAGAATGAAGAGAATCACGAGAAACCCCCAGAAAATTCAACCAATGAAAAGAAAGAAGAAGAAAATGGCGAAGAGAATAAAGAAGGTAAAGTATCATTAGTATAATTTTTATTAAATCTAAGTTTAATTATAATTTTTTTAACATGGCGTAATAAATATTGAATATATTATATTTCACACGTTAACAGATGATAAAAAAGGCTGGTTTGGAAGATGGTTTGGAAAAAAAGAAAGTAGTGGAAGTAATAGTAAATCAGCTAATTTGGGTGAAGAAAATTCATTTTACTTTGATCCTGTTCAGAAGCGATGGGTTAACAAAAAGGTAAAAAATAAATAAATAAATAATAAAGCATTTAATATAAAATTTAAAGATTATTTACTTAATAATTAATTTTATTTTAGGCCGGACCAGATTCTACCCAAACTTTAACACCACCTCCACCACCATTATCACGCGCCAAAACAACATCACCTACTCCATCATCAAACTTAAATCCTAATAGAAAATCATTACCACCAATAAAAACTTCTAATGGTAGTGCTTCAACTCCACCACCATTTACTGGTAGCCGTAGAAGTGTATCTAGTGCTAGCACACGACGCCCTGTTCGAGCAAGATATGTGGATATAATGAATCAGCCTCCGCCATCACCAAAATAAATTCAGTTTTATTTACAAAAAATTTAATGCGAACAATTGTGATTTTTTCCATAGCATTTCTTGTGATATACTTTTTTAAAAAAAAAAAAAAAAAAAAAAAAAAAAAAAAAAAAAAATTGAAAATTTACTCTGATTTAAAGTTGTTTTTTTTTATTTAATAATATTTAATATGTAGAATATTTTTTTTAATTTTGTATTAGATTAGAGAAAAAAAAAAGACCCCAAAATTTTTTTTTATTTTATTTAAAAACAACAGTAAAGTCTTTTTTTTAATATTTCTACATAAGTCCGTGAATTAAAAATAAATATATTTATATCACTAACAATAAAAATTTAAAATATTCAAAAAGAAATATATATATATATATATATACATATATATATATCAAAGATTCATGATTAACTTGTAACATCACTTTTTATTCTTTTAAACTAAAATTTTCTCCAAGAGAAAAACCACTGTTTAATGTACTATATTATATTTTGAAAATCTCTATTCGGCCATTTCACCAAAGACACAGCACCAACACCTGTTACAACATAACTACATAATTCTATACTTTCTTATATATATTATATATATATATTTTTTGTATATACATGAAATTAGATATACATTATATTAAATAAAACATTAAACAAATTTAATTATTGTACAAATTTTCAAAAATTGTAAACCCCCAAAAAATTAGAGTCCAACTACCCTTAGTAAAACCTCTACCCTTTCTTATGACTGCCTGGTTTGAAGTAAAAGTTGCTGTTTCTATTGAAGAGAATAGAAATAAAAATAAAGATAACTTAGAAACATTTAAAATTTTTTAAAAAAATTTTAAAATTTTATTTATTTAGCTCACCAAAGCCAATACGTGATTACGTTGTTCTGGTGGCAACATGTCAATTGTTTGTTGAGGAAGATTAAGAACTTGAAGCAAGAGTTGCTGAAATTTAAAAAAAAAATTTTTTTAGAAATAAAAAAAAAAAAAAGTTTATTGATGAATAAAAATATTTTCTTTGTATACGAACTGATTTTTGCGCTTCTTGCATTTGTAAATCATCTATTAAAAATAAATAATAAAAAATAAAAAAAAAAAATAAAAGTAAAAAATTTTTTAAATATCAAAAAATATTAAATATTATAATCATCTAAATAATTTATAAATTATTACTCATTCCAACGTTTCCCGTTGATACAACAGATTGACCAGGATTAAGAATCATTCCATTATTCATTACAGGCATACCCATAGATTGTTGCATTGGTGGTTGTTGCATTGGTGGTTGTTGTATTGGTGGTGGTGGTGGTTGTTGTTGTTGTTGTGGTTGTTGTTGTTGAATAGGTGGTTGTTGAATTATTGGTTGAGGTTGTTGAGGAATTGAAGAATACATAGTTGATTGAATTTGTGGTGGCATTGTGGCAGGACTAGGAACATTGGGAGGTACATAATTTGTACCTGGAACTATTGGTGGTGGATTTTGTACAGAAGATGGTTGAACTTGTTGTGCTTGTGATGTATTATGTAATAAAATTCTCTAATAATTTAATAAATAATTAAATAATTAAAAATAAATAATAAATAATTAAATAATTAAAATAAATAAAAATATTTTCTTTAACATTTGAAAGAAAATTTTCTACCGGTAATATTCCTGGATCAACAAAATTGTGCTGTATCATTGCTTGAAATAATGCATATGATAATTGAGGATTTTGTGCTAATAACACGCGTGCTTGTTCTTGATGTGTTTGAATATATAACTTTGAATCATAGAATAATAAAATAATTGTTAATAACCTTAAAATTTTTATTTTTATATTTAATATTTAATATTTAATATTTAATATTTAATATTTAAAGTTTACCTTCATTGTAGATAAGATCTCAAGAAGTTGGGCTGGAGACATTGTCTGTTGAACTGTTTGAGATATACTTTCTATATTAGGAGATTGTTGTTGTTGAGAAGATTGCTGCTGTGGTGGCGGTGGTTGTTGTTGTTGTTGTTGTTGTGAAGGTTGTTGTGGCGGAGGTTGTTGTGGTGGAGGTTGTTGTTGTTGTGGAGGTTGTGGTTGTGGTTGAGAAACAACTTGAGGGGTAATCGTTTGTTGGGTTGAAACAGGTGTTGATTTTTCTACACTTGATCTATCCGTTTGTATATTTGTTGTAGGATTAACTGCTGGATCTCCGTCGGCATAATCAACCCTTAGTTGACGACCACCAACTTCTACATTATTCAAATTTCTAACTGCACTTGCTGCTGTTTCTGCATCTATTGATAAAATTATTATTATTTGTTTTTATAATTGTAAAATGAAAATTACTTGATTTCAAAACATCATTTAAAGGAAAATTCTATATACCATGATATTCACAGAAACCATATCCTCGTGGTCTTCCACTCTCTCTATCAAATACCAAACTTAAGACAATATACAAAAATATATATATATATATACATATGCATGTCAGAAGATAATTTTTCACACAGTTAAATTATATTTTCTTTGAAAATAACTGACCGAAAAGAAACTACGGGCCCGACTTCTTTAAATACTTCAGTTAACTGTTCCTCGGTTAATTCATACGGTATGTTTCCAACTTGAGAAAAGTGACATTATTATTTCTTTAATTCACAGACTTAAATTTTCATTTGGTCAATTTTACAAAGATTTCTTACCAAATACTACATTCGAACCTCTAGGCCCTCCACTCATATTTTATTATATTAATTAAATTATATATATTAAATTATATAATAATATGAATATTTATCAAAGCTTGATCTAATGCCATGCATTTAAATTCTTATTCATACACTGGCTTTTTTGCCGATCGTTTGTCACACGATTTGTATGTTCGATCATCCTGTACCATGGAAATCTGATCTCGAAAAAAATAGTGATATCAACTTCGGGTTAACTTATTATCTCTATTTACGTAAAGTAGTATCATAGCATTGTAGAACGACCGTCATCTCGCTAAATTTTTTCATTAATTATTTTCTCGCACAAATGAAGGATTCCCAAACATCTAATAAGCGTGTTAGTAACCGGATTATATTGAACGTTGGTGGTATTAAGGTAATTTTTTATATTATTCTTTTTACTTTTTATTTTTCGCCCAAAAAATCTAATATATTAAGTATATCACTTTTTTTTTTTT